CCCAAATCTAAATGTTTCTTCCCTGGGTTTATAGCACTTCATAAATAACCCATAGCCAAGATAGCACTGTGACTTCCTTCCCCCAGCGTTACAATCCTGTAGCGTCAGAACAAAGACTGTGTGTGAGTGTGTGAAAAGAGCTGGAGATATTTTGTTTATTGGAAGGGAGAAGACTGAGATTAAATATTGCAGTTAGCAGAGAAGCAGGTCTCTTCCTTTCCTGTGGGCATTGCTTTGTGCCCACGGAGCCTGTGGGAGGGCGCGCGGCCCGGCCCGTGCAAGATGCAGAACCGGGAATGAGGCCGGCGGGGGAGGGGCTGCCTTGGCCAGGGAGGTGGAGGTGCAGCCGTGAACTTGGAGCTTTCGCTGAACATAAGGAATGGTTTTTTTCTCATCAACAGTAAGTGCCGTTTCAGTCATCGGCCCTGCGTATGGCCAGGGGGTGGCTGCTGTCGCTGTGTGTCTTGCTGGCTTGCTCTCTCATTCATTTTGGTTACAATAGAAATCACCGATGAGATGGTGGCTGGGGAGTGTGTGCGCGGCCATCGGGGGATGGGCCCTTTCCCGGTGTCAGCCTGCGTGTGGTGTCTGCAGTTAGCCTTTGACAAGCAGGGGAGTAAGTGATTATGCTGTGTGGAAAATGGAAGTCCTCCTGCAACATAAATGCTTCAAAGAGGCGATTAGCTCAAATGTCTTGTAATGTCTGCATCCCAAAATCAGGGCTTCAAGATAGTGGAGTAATTGATTATCTTACTGTCTGAGGTTTAGTCATGTAGAAAGATGCAATTGTATAGGATTTGAGCAGTGTTTTGCCACTGATAGCTGCCCACAGGGTTGGGTATCTTACAGCACAAATTCACAACTTCCACCATCTCAGTTTTCCTTAGTATTTTTTAAGTTATGTTGTCCACATTGGCATAGGAATATTTTAGTCTATGTCTTTATAATTTAACTGTAGACCCTTGAGCATGTAGAGAATAAGACTGAAATGTATATTCCATATACTTGAGTTTAATGTTAAAAGCCCGCTTCACACATTGTTAATTAAGGTTTAGGCTCGATACATAGACTGATACTAACCTGGCTTGATTTTGTTTGTCGGGGAGAGAAAGCAGCGTTCCTAAGTATTTGGATCCATTGCTAGTAAGATAAAAGAAAAACTTAATTCACCTTGATCATTTTCTGCTTTTCTACTCAGAATCCGTGCAAAAGATCTAATTTGTAGCTACTCAGGTAAAATTCTTATTTTGCTTGGTTTCTTCTAAAAATGTTTTCACTTTATGCAGGTCTAGTCTACACAGGTGAAAAACCTCCCCTTTGCACCTAAAATTTTTGTTTTTCCAATTTTCAGAACTGAAATTCAACTCAGGAAACTATGCTAATTTTTTCTGGGGAAATCAAGTTTGTTGAAATACATATGTGAGCAGTGTTAGACAAGTGCGCCGGGGCGCAGCCTGGGCCAGAGTGGAGGTGGCGAGCCGTGGGAGCAAACGGCTTTGCTGGCTGGTGTGGTGTGGTGTGGTGTGGTGGTGGCTTCCCTGGGCCCGCAGTTGGCCTCTGAATGGGCTCCCTTATTTTCCGGTATTAACACGAGATTTAAGGTTTTCCAAGAGCAGTATTAATGAGGCCTAACATAGAGGTCAGTTGCCTGAGTTGGCAAATGACATACTTCCTGACCTGGGAAACGTGGTCATTAGACTACAAAGAATAGAGTATGGAATATTCTCTGCAGAAAGATACAAACTCAGTAGTTCACCGTATGGTTTCTGGAGTAAATTGTAGCATGGTTACCCAAGGAACAGCACTTACTTCATCACAGCACGTGTTTATATGTTATGCCTGCGGTCAGAGGTTGAGACCCAGTGGATTAAATCCTGAATGGGTGAATGTTCTGTAGCCATGGCAGCTTTCTTTGTTGTTGTTCCTCCCACCTTCCCTTCCTCTTAATTTGCCCTCAGTATGCATGGGATTTGTGTGCTCGTTCGTCACCCTTTCACCTGCCCAACATGGAATAAGGTCAGGAGCACATGAGCTCTGTGTGGCGGCAGATTGCTTTGTGGCACAACAGCCTAGAGCTAATCTGATCTTTACTTCTCTCCTTAGTATATTATATGGCCACCTCTTTTATGAAAAAGACAAATTTGAAGGTAAGAGCCAATATCACTTACTCATTCAAAAGATATTTTTTGAGCACTTCTTATATCATATTATGTCTAAGTTAGATCTGAATTTGGTGATGAGCTCTTCATGCACAAGACCTATTCCTCAGATATCTCTGAGTCCTGAGGATCTGCATAGGACCCAAGACAGCACATAGGCACATAGTTAAGTTTAGTGGAAGGAAATCATAGAGGGGCAGACGTGGACACCCAAAACTTTGCAGCACTTGGGGGCAGGCTCCTACTTCCCAGTGTATCCTGGAGCCATGAGTGAAGACTTGCAATCATGACCCCTTGACAGCAACACAAGCCATCCTGTACCTAACGTTAGCTAATGTGTCAGTGCGTGCATGCTAGCATATGCAGGTTTATATGAGATGCCACGAGGAAGGTGCTTAAGAACAGCATCTCTAGACAAGGCTGCTGCGATTGGAATCCTGCCTCTGCCATTTAACGACCACGTGACTGGGGCAAGTTATTTTATCTTTTTGTGGCAGTTAGCTCATCTGTCAAATGGGCATACTAGTAGTGTGGATCCCATAACATTGTTTTGAGGATTAAGTGAGGTGCTCACTGTAAAGTACAACAGGCCTGGCACATGTAGGTGTCATGTGTTCTGTAGGTGTCCCATTTTAGTAATAGAGCTTTGTGAATTGTAACATATACCCATTGATGAAGTGTAAAAGAAAAGGATAACAGTAGAAAGTCTGGTATTTTATTCTCACGCCCCACTGGTTTGTCCATTGTGGACAGCCCTGGCCTGGAGTACCATTGTCCTGGGGAAGCCAAGTAGGTTATTCATCGCCCCCCTCCAAGCTCCTTCCCTCTGCTATTGCATACTCACCTGGGATTAACAGGATTCAAGATCGGTGGGTCTTAGTATTTTTGCACCTAGGTTATTTATTTAAGTCCCTTCATTTAAAAAATTGTGTTCTAGCCCTCTTCTTTTTAAATAAAGAGGCTCTTTGGGTTAGAGTCGGGTCAGGTGCAGGAGGAGGGAGCAGGTGGAGAGGGTGGGGAGGCGGGAGAGCGTGAGCTCCTCTCCCCACCTGTGAGAAGCTCTTGGGGCCAGGCTACTTGTCCAGCCAGAGCCTTCCATAGCCCCTTGGAAACTTCGTGGAAGACGTCTTGTCCCATGGGGCCCAGGGTTCCCAGCTGCTCTGGCACTATCTAGAGTGTTCTTTCTGGACCCTGGGCTGTTGGGAGATAAGACACTGGGGTGAGGGGTGTGTGTCTCTAACGTCATGGGAACAAAGGAGGATCTGGGTTACAGCTGCATCCAGGCCCGGCCCTGGATTCTGTTACATCTGTAGCAAATCATCTTGTGGTATTTGCAGTGAGAAGCTAATTTGGAAGGTGTACATACCCCCTCAGAAATCATCATGACCATAGTTTGTGGTCTCCTTAAATAACAGCATGTAGTGGAAGTGCTCATACACACATTCATTCATGCAAGAAATGTTTGTCAGTGCCTCCTGTGCCCCAGGCGGTGGGGCGGATGCTGCCCCTGCAGAGGGAGCAAGCCCCGTGCAGCCTGGCTGGCGTGGGCTCTGTTGTGGACACACAGCAAATGAGGGCTGCGGACGAAACAGGGTGAGGGGTCCCGGGGGCTGTGGGAGCATGTGGGTGAGGCCCCCCGTGTCTCAGCAGTGGCGGAAGCTCTGGGAAGCAGAAAGGGGGCCTCTCTGCTGAGTGCAGGCTTGGAGGCAGAGAGCCCACTGTGGCTTGAAGGCTGGGAAAGGACTGTCAGGGTGGGGTGAGGGCTGTGGAAGGGTTTGAGTGGGGTTGGATCAGATTGGCCATCTAGAATGTACATTTGGCTACAGACCCGAAGGTGGGTCGGAGGGCTGGGGATGGTATGGTGGGAAGCTGTTCACTGGCAGCCAAGGAAGTGGGGGGTGCCGTGTGCTTCTGTGCATAGGGCCTGCACCCCAGGCTCTTCCAGTGCCGTGGAAGGAGTTCTGACGGCATCTCCTATTGTGAGTATTACTGTGTGGAACTTTCCCTTGTAGCCAAACTTCAAGTCTCTGGGATTCACTAGAATTCCCACAGATCACCAGAACAAGCCCTCACTCACTCTACTCTAGGACTTTGATGAAAACAGTTCATAGAGGCATTTTTTTGCAGGGTCTGTCCAAAGCTGGTTTCCCCTCAGCCGCTGTGTCCTTTCCCCCGACAGTTGAGTGATGTGCATGTGAGCTCACAGACACGGACGCCACGGCTGTTAGATTCGCTGCCCTCGGAGTCGGGTGGATCAGTGGGGCAGATGGATTTAGAACTGCTTGTGCTTTGCACCAGCTCCCTCTGTGGCAGACACAGCTGCCCCATAATGGCTGGTTCTATGTGAAGGCACCCTCAGACCGGGCGCGGTGGGGTTTAGTACACATTCTATGCTTGCTCAGGAGGAGGGCCCATGAGAGGCATCCGGGCCAGACAGCTCCGAGTGAATCAGGCTTGTAATGATTGACTTCACCCCTCAGAGAGGCCCTGGCTGCTGCTGTCCTGGGCTTGCCCAAGGCAGACACTGGACAGAAGCCAACTATGGTTATTTTAATCTCAAGAGAAAGAAAGGGTATCTCCTGGGCCTCTGGGTCCCACTGCGGGAATGACAGGACTTCGTATTTGTGTGGGTGGATCAACTCAGTCCATTTGAAAATCAACTGGGGCAGCAATTTTGTGAAGTGTCACATACTCTGTGAAAACTTAAATCTGGTGCCGTGAGGGTAGTTCTGTTGTAAAATCAATAACGGATGTAGGTTGCCATTTACTCTTGGACACCCTAAGTGGCACATTTCACTCACCACTAACCACTGGGTTTTTGTTTTCTGCAACCATGTTTAGGGTGAAGAAGCTGAAGGAGACTTTTGCTTTTATTCAGCAGTTAGACAAAAACATGAGCAACCTTCGCACCTGGTTGGCCCGGATTGAGTCTGAGCTTTCTAAGCCCGTTGTGTATGACGTCTGTGATGACCAAGAGATCCAGAAGAGGCTCGCCGAGCAGCAGGTGGGGAAGTAAGAGTGAGCTTCTGTACGAGTACAGGTATCTGCAGTATCCGCTAACCAGCCTTCCCCGTGCTGGCTATGTGTTTTAGTGTGTTTACATTTCATAATAGCTTTTTTTCCTAGAGAAAACTGACCATCTGTTCATGTCCTTGTACGTGTGAGGCATCCCTCTCTTGAGTGCTCACCCTTCCACCACCATTTGCATAGCTCTTTGGGAAATGCTCTGAATATTGTTTAAGATGCAGACCTTAATCTTAGTGGTAAATAAGGTTTTTTTGGTTTTGTATTTTTTAACTTTGTTTTTTTTTTTTTTTAGCTTCTGTTAATGTAGTTTTGAAAGGCCGTGAACAGAAAGAAAAATGAATTTTCTAACCAAGGAAGGTTTCCATGGGTCAGTACTCTGATACAGCTTCCAAAAAAAAAAAAAAGGCATACAAGGAACATGCTCGGAGCAAAGTTCAGGAAGCCTTCCCTGCAGCGCTCTGTGCCGTTGTCATTATGCACCCTCCAAGCTGAACCTAGAAATCCCCCAGCTTGACAACCACTGAGGCCTGCCAGTGTCTGTCATGACACTAACCTGGTCTCTGATGTCACTGACTTACCAAGTCCACTTCCTGCCCTCAGTGGGCTCACGTTCACATGCTCATTTTCATATGCAGTGCCTGAGCTTATCTTTGTTTTTTTAAATAGTTAAGTTTATATTACTCACATCTTTCTGAGACCTGCAAGCAGATTCTGTTTGATCTGTATAGCAGTATTCTTCTCATCAGGTTCTCAGACTTGTATCTGTTTTCTTCACTTTACCTCCTTGGTGTTTGCTGTCTGTCAACCCACCAGGGAGATTCACCCACATATCACAGCTGCTTAGAGACAGAATTTTTCCGAGACTCCGGGGCACTCCTTGATGATAAATTCTCTCTTGAGTTTGGGTCAGTCCTTTTACTGATAAGTGACATCTCATGCTACCATGAAGGTAGAGCTAAGTATTTGCTAATACTCTTGACCTAAATCTTTATTCAATCTATTACAGTTATAAATGATGCCTGTTCTCTGATTTTCAAATCAGTATGATTTGGCAATGCTACAAAGTAAAAATATTGATTTTTCTATTTATCCTCAGAAATTTAAGTATGTCTTTTTCATTGAGGTCATATAAATTCTGTCTTTGCTTTATGGAAAAATGAACAGAAATAAGTGCCATGTTAACACTGCAAAGATTTTAATGCCCTCAGTAGAGTCACAGCTTCTGGACATTATCGGTTTTATTTGCAAGTTTGATCCACTAGGATGACTTTCTTACACAGTCTTTTTATAGACAGGCCTTGCAAATAACTGTGTACCCTGAGTAGTGAGTATTTTCAGATAAATAGTACAGAAATTGACAACAGTTTTCCTTCCTCAAGAATGACTGGCTAAATGTGGCAGGGGCTAATAAGTATATTAATGTTTCATATATCTGATGTGTGACAGAATATCATTAAAATTGCAGGGAGTTTATTCCCCAAAGTGTACAGTGTGGTGCCACTGCCATCCTGTTGGCCTTGGTTGTTCCTGTACTGAAATGGTCCAAAACTTCAGTATGGTTGATGGGAAGTTTCCCTGTTCATAGAGTTCAGAATCACCATCCTGGAATTCTTATCCCTTGGTTATAAAAAAAAAAATGATGGAGTTGCTGTTCAAAACCACCATTACCGTAAGGAAGTTAGGTGTGTTAGTTTTCTGTGGCTGCTGAAAAAAAGTTCTCAACTTTACACAAACTTATTGTCACAGTTCTGGAGGTCAGAAACCTGACAGAGCTCTGACACAGGGCTGAGAGGAGGCTGCAGGGGAGAAGCCACTCCTCTGCCCTTCCTAGCCTCTTGAGGCGCCAGTTCTTGGCCCGCGGCCCCTCCTCCATCCTCAAAGCCAGTAACATCAAATCTCTCTGTGCTGTCCCCTCATAGTCAGTTCTCCTTCTGACTGACTGTTCTTCTGCCTCCTCCTTCCACTCTGAAGGACTCTGGGGATTACACTGGACCCACCCAGATATTTTTAGAAAAATCTTAAGGCAAGGTCTCCAAAGCTCCATCAAAACCACTAAAAACAGAAGTGTGTCACACCAAAGAGTTCTATATGGGCTGTTTTAAAAAAAACCTTACCTGTGCTTCTATCACTAGTTAAATGTAATAAATTGCATAACTGCTTCCAGAAATAAGACCTAAAAGCTTGGAATCACATAGAAGTGCCTTCTGCAAAAGCGCTCAGCTCCCAGAATTGATTAAGAGCAGTGTGCTCCCTGGGTCCTCATTGCAATGACCTTGGGGCCCAGCAGGGAAGAGGTCAGACCTTATGAGTTCCTTTTGTTTCTCTTTTATGTGGAGAATTTTATTACCTTCTAAAATGTGTATTTTATTACCTCCTTAGGTAATAAGGGTTGTGTGGTTGTCCTATAGAATAGATCATCTTCAAAAAACAAAAGTGGTGGCAACTTTCATGACACTCTTAAACCATGAACCAGCAGTCACTGAGTCTCAGCATTTCTCTCCCATTTTCTTTGGTTTCCTGGTTCCCTGTGGAAGCCGGTTGGTGGTGTGGGGACGAGAGGTCATTAGTTGCCCCTCCCCCTCACAGTGGGCCACCCCAGCTTCATTCCAGCCTCCCTAAGCTAGTCCCCAAGACCTGCTCACCTGCTCAGCAGCCCGGGCCCCTCCCATGAGGACATTCCGGAGCCACCCCTGGGGGTCCCACCCATCCTGTGTGATTTTCTGCCCTTCAGCCTGTTTTTTTGTTTTTATCTTATTTTTCTGGCCCCTTTGTCTTCTCATCCCTCCTGCTGCCCTTGGCTCTAGTATCATGTCTCCCGGCTCCTCCTCTCACTGCCCCCATCCTACACATGCTTTCCCAGCAGGGCCCTGTGTCACCTGCTCAGGAGCAGAAACACACAAAACCAAGAGGAGCCCATCTCCAGAACCATTGGCAAGTCTTCTACATTGTTTTACATTGTTTCTTAAGTCCAGTTCTCCAAATTGTATTTGAAAAGCTTTGAAGTCCAGTTCCCCTGCAGACTCGCCTCAGTGGGCGCTCATGGGGTTGTTGCAGTTTCTAAAGCATCACTCATCCAGCACTTCATTTGCATTTTAAAATATGGCCCACCACCTTTTATTTTACAAGGTAAATAGTGCATGCTGTAATATTGGCAGGCCATATGATGTTCTAGAAGTTTTCTTTGGAAATTTTGAATAATGTTGATTTTTTTTTAATCAAGATGTTGATGGTCTTGCTACCATTCACCTTATGTGTTAATCAGTTTTTTTTAAGCCATTTTACTCCATATAACAATCTTCTGCCTCCTCCTTCCACTCTGAAGGACTCTGGGGATTACACTGGACCCACCCAGATATTTTTAGAAAAATCTTAAGGCAAGGTCTCCAAAGCTCCATCAAAACCACTAAAAACAGAAGTGTGTCACACCAAAGAGTTCTATATGGGCTGTTTTAAAAAAAACCTTACCTGTGCTTCTATCACTAGTTAAATGTAATAAATTGCATAACTGCTTCCAGAAATAAGACCTAAAAGCTTGGAATCACATAGAAGTGCCTTCTGCAAAAGCGCTCAGCTCCCAGAATTGATTAAGAGCAGTGTGCTCCCTGGGTCCTCATTGCAATGACCTTGGGGCCCAGCAGGGAAGAGGTCAGACCTTATGAGTTCCTTTTGTTTCTCTTTTATGTGGAGAATTTTATTACCTTCTAAAATGTGTATTTTATTACCTCCTTAGGTAATAAGGGTTGTGTGGTTGTCCTATAGAATAGATCATCTTCAAAAAACAAAAGTGGTGGCAACTTTCATGACACTCTTAAACCATGAACCAGCAGTCACTGAGTCTCAGCATTTCTCTCCCATTTTCTTTGGTTTCCTGGTTCCCTGTGGAAGCCGGTTGGTGGTGTGGGGACGAGAGGTCATTAGTTGCCCCTCCCCCTCACAGTGGGCCACCCCAGCTTCATTCCAGCCTCCCTAAGCTAGTCCCCAAGACCTGCTCACCTGCTCAGCAGCCCGGGCCCCTCCCATGAGGACATTCCGGAGCCACCCCTGGGGGTCCCACCCATCCTGTGTGATTTTCTGCCCTTCAGCCTGTTTTTTTGTTTTTATCTTATTTTTCTGGCCCCTTTGTCTTCTCATCCCTCCTGCTGCCCTTGGCTCTAGTATCATGTCTCCCGGCTCCTCCTCTCACTGCCCCCATCCTACACATGCTTTCCCAGCAGGGCCCTGTGTCACCTGCTCAGGAGCAGAAACACACAAAACCAAGAGGAGCCCATCTCCAGAACCATTGGCAAGTCTTCTACATTGTTTTACATTGTTTCTTAAGTCCAGTTCTCCAAATTGTATTTGAAAAGCTTTGAAGTCCAGTTCCCCTGCAGACTCGCCTCAGTGGGCGCTCATGGGGTTGTTGCAGTTTCTAAAGCATCACTCATCCAGCACTTCATTTGCATTTTAAAATATGGCCCACCACCTTTTATTTTACAAGGTAAATAGTGCATGCTGTAATATTGGCAGGCCATATGATGTTCTAGAAGTTTTCTTTGGAAATTTTGAATAATGTTGATTTTTTTTTAATCAAGATGTTGATGGTCTTGCTACCATTCACCTTATGTGTTAATCAGTTTTTTTAAGCCATTTTACTCCATATAACAATAAATAACTTACAGTAACTACAAAAAATACGTGACATTCATGTTATCCATAGATTAGACTTCCTCTGTGTTTTTCAGCCAGAGCTTACCCAAGCCTACCAGCTGAAGTCAGAAGCAGGTACCATTTTTCAATTAAAATTATCAATGGTACTCATTTAGCACCAGTGCTAACATTCCTAGGCATTATTTTAATAAAGTTAAAAGGGACATTTATCAGTGCCAGTAAGTTTTAGGAAAGTCTATAACAACTGTCTGAACCACTAAGAATTCTTAAAACTTGAATTCTGTTTAAAGCTAACAATTTAAAGTCAGTCCTTGCATTGACCTCCAGAAGACTTCACCATTGCACCATGTCAGGCATATGTCCTGGACTGCAGAGCTTAAAAAAATCACCCTGCCACATCTGTCTTTATAGGATACACAGGATGAAAAGCTGAAAAACATGTTTTCTTCAGAGTATAACTTTATGGTGCTCATTTTTAGTTAGGTTCCATGTTAGTAACTGCTTGATTTAAAATTTGGTTTGAGTGCTAGCATTTTTCTTTAATATCCACCCAGAGAATGATCTAGTTGTGCATTTATCAGGAGAAACGTTAAGGAACTAACAGTCCTGTCCAGAAATACAGTAGTTATCTCCAAAATCATTAATTATTGAGGTGACCAGGAATGAGCTTTGCACTTTCTGTAGATAGTGGCAGGCACTGTTTATAAAATTATCCTGGAAACTGAACTTTATTGAATTCAGGGAACTTTAATATAGTTCATAGTGGCTTCTTTAACTTGGCATTTCTCTTTATCTTGGCTGTTTTGTGATGTAATTTGGATACTCAGATCAGTGGTGCAGCCTCCTGTAACTCACCACAGATTCTAGGCCGCAGGGGAAGCCTACCTCATCCGGATGGCAGGGCAAACGGGCTCCTCATCTCCCCCTCCCCCAGCCTGCTTGTGGTGTGCAGAGGCAGTCTCTGGGGCGATGACTGAAATGCCATTGTTTAATTGTAAACAGGTTTTCTCTTCATGAACATCCTTTTTCCCTCACCAGCAAACTGCAGCACTGTCATCGTCATCGAACAGAACTTTGGACACCATGTCCCCTCCCCAGGCTGAGCCTTGGCCAGACCCCATGAGCTGGGGAAGCGGGGCCTCTACTCCCACATTCTTCCTGGGGCCTGGGGAGCCCTAGGCTGGTCTTGTGGGGAGGCTGTGGACACTGTACCACAACATGCAAGATTTGGTGGGGGAAGGGGTGAAGGTAGCACAAAGGTCTCAGTGATTTAAGAATTTTGTGACCCATAAAAGGTTAAGTTTCTATTGCTGAAGCTTTAGGTCCTATTGAACAGTCAGTTATCCATGGAAGGCCTCTCCCAAACCAAGTCTAGAGTGGAGGCCTTTGGGGAAGTGGTATAGGTCCTCTGCCTCCACAAAGTCTGTGAGACAGTGGGCTCCCAGGAGGGTACCCACACTATTACCCCCATACAGTCCGTTCCAGCTGTTGGGAGCTTTTAAGCTTTGTGTCAGGTGCTACAGCACAAGGGCTGCACAGAGGTCAGGATATGGTCTGCATGGCTGATTCCAAGTTGGAAATGCACCGGGACTGCCCTTTGCGGGGAGTGGAGCTCCTCTGCTTCCCACCCTCCCACCACCGCCGCCACCATCTGAAGGCTCCTCTTACTCTCCTGTAATCATAGGACCTGCAGCGAGACATTGAGCAGCACAGTGCAGGGGTGGAGTCTGTGTTTAACATCTGTGACGTCCTACTGCACGACTCCGATGCGTGCGCCAATGAGACCGAGTGTGACTCCATCCAGCAGACCACCAGAAGCCTGGACAGGCGCTGGCGGAACATCTGCGCCATGTCAATGGAACGGCGAATGAAGTGAGAACCGAGCTGCCCCGGACATTAAGTGTGGTGTTCGGATCTAACTAATGGCATTGTGTTCTGGTCACTTCCCTTCCAAGGTTATTGGCAGAGAAGGCTCAGTAGGTGTGACCTGACCAGTGCTTATTAAAGGCATTATTTAAGACAAATATAACCAGGGTAGCATTTCCCCCAGCTCTTCTGTGTCCCGAGGTGTAACTGTGGCCGGCCACTGTGCTGCTGTGTCCCCAGCGGGTAGCCCCTGTGAGGCGGGAGTTCTCTGGGGCTTGGCCCTCCCAGGAGGAAGGTGTCCTGCCCACAAATCACCATCCCTGCTTATTTCCCAGAAGGGGTACCAGGGTCTTTCCCTGTGAACAGGGCCAGTGCCAGTGGGTTTGGGAATGGGACCAGTCAAGGGAGGAAAAAAGTGCAAAAGCTCATGTTGAATGGCTTGTCCTGAGTTGCTTTCCTCCCCTCAGAATTGAGGAAACATGGCGCCTGTGGCAGAAGTTTTTAGATGATTACTCCCGCTTTGAGGACTGGCTCAAGTCGGCTGAGAGGACAGCGGCCTACCCGAATTCCTCAGAGGTGTTGTACACCAGTGCCAAAGAAGAGCTGAAGAAGTTTGAGGTAAAGACCCTCCCAGCCCAGTGCTCCTGGTAGCCAAGCGTGTAGCACCTCAGGAGCGGCTGGCTTGCTGTATGTGTGGCCAGGGCCACCCAGTCCACAACTTGCCATCAGGTTTGCAAGATGTTTTCAGTGTATGCCAGCTGGCATGCAGTGAACTTGAATGCCTGTTCTTTAGCAAGCAGCAGAAGAGCAAGTGAAGTAAGCCTTTGCTTACCATTTCGGTCCCGGGACTAAGCACCTGAGGCAGGTTGCTCGGGGCCTGGCAGGGAGTGTCCTGGCACTCCGTGTGCTTTGGCACTGACGGGCCAGGCCCTTTGTGTGATGCAGGCCTTTCAGCGGCAGATCCACGAGAGGCTCACGCAGCTGGAGCTCATCAACAAGCAGTACCGGCGGCTGGCCCGGGAGAACCGCACCGACTCCGCCAGCAGGCTGAAGCACATGGTCCACGAGGGCAACCAACGCTGGGACAGTCTGCAGAGGCGGGTCGCGGCCGTCCTGCGGCGACTCAGAGTAACCTTCTCCCCATCACCTGGGGCATTCCTAGATGTTCAGGGCAAAGTGGTTAGGTGGTATCGGGCATGTAACAAGGTGAGGGGTAGATTTCATTTAAGGCCTAGCTGTCTTATTCTTCCAAGCAGCCTTCCCTTTTGATTAAGCCCAAAGATGCCAGCATTCAGGATTTTTAGGAGGATAATTTCCCAAGAATAGGCTTCTTAGGCAGAGCCTGTGTATGTGGTCTGCGTTACCAAACACATCTCTCTCTTCCGACTCTGCTACCCTTGAGGGGGTGCGCATTCGCCCACAAACTGCCAGAGTCCGGCACTGCAGTCTCTGGGTCTAGCCAAGGGACCTTTTAGCCTGGAAGGAGGCCCACTTTCCCCACCTCCCTGTTTTTGTGTGTCCCATTGTTTCTTGGCTGTGAGAGAGATGGACAAAGCCCCCCTGCATTGTGGAAGTTGGGGACAGTGATTCTCCTTAGAATTTCAGAGCACACGGACTAACCTAAAAGGTTGGGTTTGCTTTCTGAAGGTAAACATCCACTTTAGATTGCTGTAATTCAGAAGACACGGTCTGTCAACCTTTTTGAGTCCAGATGTAAACTGACAGGACTGCTGTGGATTGTGGCTACAGGAAGTAATTTTAATCCCTGCTTCTGTTCTCAGGGCAGAGCATTCTCAAAACCATTCTAAGAAGAGGAGGCTCTGGGCTGTTGTTTTTTTGTTTGTTTTGTTTTTTGTAACCCTTACTAGGAAGAAATAAGCTAGCTTTTCATACAACCCCATTGCATTAATTTCTTTATCTCCTGATTTGGCTGAGACCAGTCTAAACCTTCAATTGGCACTGAATGCTGTGTTTGAGAACCAGCTGCCCATCTGTGAGGTGGTAACCCAAGAGGCATCCTTATTTGGAGGCGATAAGTATCCTCTGGGTCTTCTTTCTCTGAGAAAATACTCAAAATTACCTGAGTAAAGGCACACTGGGCAGTGGGCCAGGCTCAGCCTGAGATCAGTACTTTTCCATCTTCATCTTTGGTCATTCAGAAGCTTCCACAGAAGCCTAACAAGTTAAAAAGGGCAAGGGGCCAGCCTGAACTTTGAGGGTATTCCTCAAAGGCCAGGTTCGGGAAATTACTGACTTAGATCAGAGAATTATGTAATTTCAAATGCTGAATGGACCTTTTGAGGTCATAGCCAACATTCCCACACCCTCCTTTGCCCAGTGGAGAGACTCAGAAGTTGGGGGCTGCTTTGGTTATCTCACAGCCAGGGCCAGACCCCAGACTGCTGCCCCCCACCCTGGCCCCTGAATGCCTTGAGGGCCTCCTAGGTCACCCCAGAGGCAGGTTTCTGTCTGAGCACTGCAGGTACCCTTTTCTTTTTGGCCAAAAATAACCTTGTTGTCTATCTGAGCTCTTGTTCCACCATCAACACAAACATGTGATTTCCTTCCCCTCTCACAGCATTTCACCAACCAAAGGGAAGAATTTGAAGGGACAAGGGAGAGCATTCTGGTGTGGCTCACAGAGATGGACCTCCAGCTAACCAACGTGGAACACTTCTCAGAGAGTGACGCCGATGACAAGATGCGCCAGCTGAATGTAAGGCCTGCTTCCTTAGCAACTCTGCAAAGATTTCACCTTTGCAGAAGACAGCTGGCCAAGTACAAATTCCAGCTGATGCCCTAAGGGCAGATTCCAGCCATTGTTAAAGCAGCCAGGCTGTATTCACCTGTGTACTGCTGGGTTATCCTGAGCAAGGATGCGGTTCCTTATGGTCAAGGGGTCATTGCAGTGAGGCCCTTTCTCCCTGTCATTTGTAGTCACCCAAGAACTTTAAGAACAGAATTTCTCAAGACGCTGTTTCTGCAGCACTCAGGTCTGCATGTGACATGTAGGGTTTAACAGACAGAAGAAGAATCTGCATCAAGAGTGGGGCCGAGAACAGATATATTCTGCTCTCCCACTGTTACAGATACCTGTATTACACTTTAATCTCATTATAATTCCTTCAGCTAGATTTATAAAAGTTTGAAAAACAGAAATCTGCCTTCCCTAATTTAATGGCAATAGTGAAATTATTATTATGTCAGCAGAAGCAAATGCCCATTGGTGACTTATTCTGGAAAATTTTCTCTTTCCACCAAGTGTCAAGAAGACAAGTTCTTTCCCTCATACCCAGTAACAATAAATGTCCACCCATGTCATATTGTTAAGAGTTATTTTAATTAGAAAAGTCAGTGCCCAGAAGGAGGAGGGAAATATATCTATACCATTGTTTTAAATGATTAAATCTTTATTTTCACTTTGTTAAAAATGGATGAAGCTGGAGTACTAGGTGAAGGAACAAAACTGACATTTTGATGCATTTCTGTGGCCGTTACAAGACACAGACGCGGTTTGATGTGGATCCTCGGTGACATTTCTTTCTTTGAAATCCTGTGTCTTTCCTACTCTAAATAGGGTTTCCAACAGGAAATTACATTAAATACCAACAAGATTGATCAGCTCATCGTGTTTGGGGAGCAGCTCATCCAGAAGAGCGAGCCCCTGGATGCCGTACTGATGGAGGACGAGCTGGAGGAGCTGCACCGGTACTGCCAGGAGGTGTTCGGCAGGGTCTCCCGCTTCCACCGGAGGCTGACCTCCCACCCTCCGGTAAGGGCCGTGCCGCCCACGGGGGCTTCTGAGCCGCGCGGAATTTGATAGCGTTCAGAAACTTAACACGTAATGATTAACTGCAATTTATTTTACGGTAAAAAAAAGCTACATTAAAAAACTTTATTTGTTTTCATTAACATAGATCTGTAATTACTTGGAAGCTTCCCACAACCCAGTGGAAAGGATGGCACTCCTGAAGTTCTTGCTCCTCTTACTGTTTGCCACGTCTTCCCCTGTGCAGGGCTGTCCTGGCATGTCAGTACCCTGGGGCGCACTGATAGGTATTCAGGTTTTGCTTACAGTAGTTACTTGGGAATATGTTGGCCTTTTCCTCTGTCTTAGTGTCTGGGAGCTTTTAGTATCTGTGCCATTCTAATGTCTTGTTTTCACCTTTGAAGTGCCAAGTGCACTAGCTTTTCGAAAGCAACTGTGGTATTTCCCTTGACAAAGGGACCTTTCGGTAGAGTTCAGGTGGAATTAAGGCCTATTGTTCAAAGTTCACTGCCTTTGTGTGCCAGAGGCTTTAATGGTGGCAACTAACCAGCACAACTGGCCACTGTTTCTTTTTTGTGTGTCTCCAACTGGCTAGCTTAGTTATTTATTCATCAGACATAGCCTTAAAAATTACCCTATGGTTCTCTCATTTCAAAACATAGGTGACAGTCATTTTTTTTAGATAGACAGAGGCTTTATAATGCAAGAGAATAAGATACCATATCCTGAACAATAAGATTGGAGGTTAAGAAAGAAAGAACCTGTTTTGCACGGTCATGAAATTGTGACTCTTACCCAGAATACACTGCCAGCTTTTTTTTTTTACAGATTAAACAGGGTGTAATTTGTGCTGTTCTGAATTTGATACT